CTACACCTGACACGTAGGGGAAGGTGTTGTCCTGCTCTGTGCTCCCACTTATGCTCTGCTTTAAAGAAGGGAGGAAACATTCTGAATAACGGTCTTCCTTGGACCCGCTGTATGTCACGGCCTCCCTCACTGCATACGTCTTTCCCTTGTGTTCTCCTGGCAGCAGGGTGATGCAGGGGCACCTGGTATTGAGAATATGGAGATGAGTTTTTAATGGTGAAAATAAAAAAGAAAAGAAACAAAACCATTCCTGTGTTAACAAACCATGTAAACAACTGATGGGCCTTAAATGTTTGCCTACGCTTCCTTTTTATAGAACGATACTGTTCTGAATCTGAGCCAAATTTAGGTTTTAATCATATGCTTGGTTCTGAACTGGGAAACCCACATTGCAGCTCTCTGTATACTTACTCCTCTCAACGATTGTAAAAGGAACGCTATAATGACAGTAATATCCATTCAGAATACGAGGGTACTGCCTAAGTGGATGTATATGACATGCAAAATAGACGGCATGCTAAATCTATTAAGCATGCCAGGTTTATATATTCAAGGAAATAAGATAATCGGATGGTAACGCGACCTGGCTGTGTGTGATTCTTTAAAAATATAGACATGTGTATATTTTGCCCCTTGATTTGTTCCTGTAATTTTCTAAAATACATGTTAAAGATATCATCTGCCTTCTTAGATTGCAAGAGCTTCATTTTCCCATAAGGCCCACGTAATCAGAGCTGGTTCCTCCAACAGGCATCTTTGCACCTCATTAATTAGTAATCAGGGCAGAAGCCGTGCACTTAGAGATCTGCATACCTGCAAATGTAAATTATGATTGGGCTCTAAATCTCTCCGCAAGGCTTTTTTAAGGCTTCTTTTTTGCTAATTGTGGTGCATCCCATTTTCAGGCTTCTCCAAGGATTTTAAAGTTTGGAAGGAAACTAAAACTTCACATTATGCTTGCTTTCCTATTCTGAGAACTTTCAAAACAAAAGTAGCCACAAGCACAGGAAATTTGAGCCATCACCCATTTGTAAGGGAGCGGTGCTCTCTCTCTTGAGCTGAGTTTTAGCCGTGATTTTTTTGCTTTCTTTAATGCTCAGAAGAAAGTCCAAGGCACCTGCATGGGCAGAAGGACCAAACTTTTCAATCACCACTTCAGTCAAGGAGAATTTTGGTGCTGGAATTCAAACTTCACACCCTAGTATTTATTGTGCTTGCAGTGGGTGAAATTCTCCCTTAGGCTCAGCAACATTGGCCTGGACCTTTTAAACTAAATGGAGCCTCTATGGGTTCTTCTTTCAAAGATAAATTTGACCTGAACCTTCTTGGCAAAATAGAAACTTAAGAGGCAATGGGCCAAAATAGGCTCCCAATGAGTTATTTGTCCATTGCCTGAAGTGTTTCTTCCTAGAGGATGCTGAGCATATTGGCAAAGTGCTGTGGGGAATTGTGCAAATTCTGTCTTGCTCTGCAAATAGTACTGCTTGGAAAGCGGGGTGGGTTTGTTCCTTGCTGCTGCTGTTAGACCACAGTTATCCACACGATGCTCCTGCCTGCACTGTGGAAATACTCTTCTCGTTTTCTTGTACCTATCCCTAGCATGGAAATCATGAGAGAGTGGATTATTTTTTTTCCCGCTTTTTTTTTTCTTGCCTTTTTTGTATTTTGGGGAAAACACATTGACAGATCAGAGGTTGCAATTGTCAAATTATATAGCTTTTTAAATTTAGATTCCTAGGGCTGTAGGAAATTTTGGTAGGCGTGTTCTGGGGGTGGTGAACTCTTCTGTTCTCATGACTGGGGAAACAGAAGGCAAACTGATACCATGATGATGGTAGCAATGGTAAAACTCCTTGGAAAGATGGGGTGTAGGCATGGGATCCACGGAGGAGGCGAGAGTTTGCAAGCAGCTTGGAGACCCAAAAGAGAAATGACAGCAGCATGAGGGATGCAGAGGCCTGTTTGGCACGTGTTTCCCATACGCTTCAGGCAATCCATCTGAGGAGGTACGTTATCTGTGCCAACAGCAAATTGTAAACTATACCTCTTCAAGCAGACTGGTAAGTTCAAAGGGGAAAAGAAAGCAAGCATGCCAAGGCATCTTGGTTTTCATGGTCCATGGCATCTGAGCTTTTGACAAATGCTTGAAACCCTTTGATCTCTGAGTAATGTGAGGACCCTGCTATGTTTCATAGGTGAAGTGGTGTTTCTCAAATTTCAAAGAGGTTGAAGAAATTCTTTTGGTCAAAATTTCCAGATAGCTTGTGGAAAGATGTGTAGGAGAGGTTGAACACTCATTAGAATTCTTCTGAGCTTGCACATGTTGACGAAGGCTTGAGAGATCTGTTCAAGTTCCATGGGGAGGAAGGAGAGGTCCACTCCTTCATCTTACAGATATTTTCGGAGTATTTGCTCTGTGATGAGGTGCTCTCTCTCCATCCTGAGTCCCTTGCAAAAAGGTTTGAATGACCATCCAAGGCCAGGAGTACCAGGATGAAACACTCCTCCTTCTCCATCACTGTCTTTAGATGGACGCATCGCTGCAGAAACCCGTCCCTTAGCAGAAAAGGCCAAGCTCAACTCATGGCAACTGGGAGATGGATGAGGTAGAAGCACCACTTACACACATATGACTACGTGCCTGGGCACTTCTGCAGGATTAGGACTTTATTAGCAACCTGAAGATCTCTTTTCTTCTGGGTAGGAACTAGGTGGCTGATAGATCGATGCAATTCTCTCCATTCCTTCTCTGCGTACAATATCTCATGTCTCTGAGTCATCTCTGCCCCTACAGAGGAAGCAAAACTTAATTTCTTCCACCAAGCTTTTAGCAGCTGGAGTTGAAGAGGAAAGACTTGCCTTTAGATCTAATTAATTTGTCTACCTGGGAGGATTCTGAAATGACTTTTATTGTTGAGAAATGTAATATCCCTGAAAGACTTTCAGATGATGAATTCTGTAGTTTCTCCTGGTCTGATCACCCATTAGGTCTAGTCTGACCACCTTTATATTGCTAGGTGGTTATTTTAACCTATCTACAAAGTTTTGGTTAAGGATTACCTGACAGAAAAGCATGGTTTCAGGACTTTGAAGGCTCCACCATCGCTAGATTCATCTCCACTGTTGATCACTCACAGTATTTGTCCATTTATTTTCTCTTTTTCAACCAAAGGGGGTTCCTGCACTCTGATGCCTAAAAGCTCATAAGCACGTGCTTAACTCTAAGTTGTCCGTGGCCTTTGACATGCTGCAATTTAGCAAATACTTAGATGTGTTTTGGATCAGGATTTGAATCTGCTTCAGGGAAAAAACCAAAATCCTCTGTTTTTTAAAAAAATGGATGTAGCTGCACGATCTCATAATTTATTTTTATTTATTTTATTTTTGAAAAACTTGAAAAAAATAATTTTTAAATTCTAAGTGGCACAACTTTGCCCATTTGGAGGGAGTAATTAAGTGCCATATGTTAGCACTAACACATAGAAAAGTTGATAATTAATGCAGGCAGCTCCAGATCCAGGTGTGACTTTGACAGATTGTATGCAAGGGTTTTTCACAGGCTTACAAATAGGAATAAAAAGTCTGGTTTCGCCCCTTCCCTTCTGGATGAAAAGAAATGGGAAAAAAAACCATTTATACATAATTAACTATTTCTTGATTTGCTCAAAAGAGAAGGCAACTTGTGCATGGGAAATACACCCTTTAACTGACTGGACTCCTTAAAAATGTGTAATGAAGGGATATAATGTTGATTTTTCCGAACAGACTTTTTGGGGTTTTGAAGAGAGAAAAGGAAAGTCTGTTGACTCTTCAGGGAGATTTCCCATTATTATTACAAGGTTTAGTTCTTTTGTAGCGTACAGAAAATAATCTCTACTCCTTTATTCTCCTGGGTTAGCACAAGCGATCTAGTACAGCCTGCAAGAAATGCTCATTACTGAAGCAAATTGAGTAAAGCTAAAAATTTAGACCCTTCAGGATGTTATTCTGCAAGTTATGCTGCCAGAAAGTGGGAGGCTCGGTTTGAAAAAAGCTTCCCCAGCAGAGGCAGACTTCGTCTCAGATAACCTTTGATGGCTAACACAGAGCTCTGGATCCAAACACGATACCTAGGCACCCATGCTAGTGACTGCAGAGCTGGTCTGGATGGAGTAAAGAGAACTCATCTCATTTGGAAACAGGTTTCTGCACCTCATCACACAGGCCTCCTGCATTTGTCCAAGAGATTCCCACCTCAAATCCAGCAGGCTTAGCACTAGATAACGTCCACTAAGTGGCCTGACAGCATAGCTAACCCACGTTTGTAATACATTTGGATGGATTAGAGGTCAACCTCATAATTAGTTAATCAAGATACTGTGCAGTTTCACACCTTCCTTCACAGAATCACAGCATGGTAGTGGTTGGAAGGGACCTCTGAAGACCATCCAGTCCAACCCCTGCCAGAGCAGCATCACCCAGAGAAGATCACACAGGAACACAACCAGGCAGGTTTTGCATGTCTCCAGAGAAGGAGACTCCACAACCTCTCTGGGCAGCCTGGTCCAGTGCTCTGGTAACCTCACAGTAAAGAAGATTTTCCATATGTTTAAGCTGAACCTCCTGTGTTCCAGTTAGTGACCATTGCCTCTTGGGCACAACCAAGAAGAGTCTGGTCCCACCCTCCTGACACACACCCTTTAGATATTTATAAGCATTGATGAGAACTCCCCCTCAGTCTCCTTTCCAGGCTAAACAGACCCAGCTCTCTCAGCCTTTCCTCGTATGGGAGATGCTCTGGTCCCCTCAGCATCTCAGCGGCTCTGCGCTGGACCTTCTCCAGTAATTCCTTGTCCTTGAACTGGGAATCCCAGAATTGGAATCAGTATTCCAGATATGGCCTCACCAGGGTAGAGTAGTGGGGGTATAACGTCCCTCGACCTACTGACCATGCTCTTCTTAATGCACCCCTTCATGTTACTGTTCATGTAACTAGAACTCCAGGCCTTGTTCACTGTGACCTTCTGGCTGCTTCTGCTCCATCAATGCAGGGTTCTCAGCCACCTCATCCTACTAACTGCTTTCGAATGGTTGTATCTACGTCATTCCCCCAGAGTAGTGCAAAACAACCAGAAAGTACAACTAGGCCGATTAGCAAAGTTCAGAAATAATTATATCAAACACTCACCAATAAAATTTTCATTAGTTTTCTGGATTTTGAATTATTGAAACCTTCTCCTGGTGTGGGAGAGAGAATTATCAAGCAGCAGTGAAATACTTGTGAGATATGTGCACACAGGTGCTGACCCTTGTGCCCTGTTATCCTTCCCCCACAACCTTCCCCTTTGCCTGCTCTCATTGCCCAAAGCACTCACAGCTCCTGAGCTTTGTCCAGTCCCTCAGAGCTCATTTATTTGTCCTGTCCATGCAGCTGGAGCTCAGGACACCGATGTGCTATCACGATGACCAAGTTTTGGGAGCTGGCTGGAAGGTAACAGCCCAATCTGCTGTCAATAGGGAGGGAGACACTCCCATGAAATAAGGCATCTCATCCTGCTGATCTCTTGGCACCAGCAGCAGCCAGTTGATAACATTTTAGCTGAGACTAAAACTGGACACCTCAACTGTAGATAACTGAAGTTAAGCAAGATGATTTTAGATTGCCTTCCTTTCTCCAACCAGCAGGTAGCGGATTTCCAGATCTCAACCCTTTGTCAGGTCATGCGTATTTAACGTTGGGCTCCTCATTTTACGGTCGATGGGAACAACCCAACACACACGAGCAAATCAGCAAGCTTGCCTGCTCCAAAGGGAAGTTTGCTCACCTCCAAATACGTTTGACGCATACTTCTTTGACCCATACTCATTCTCTATTTGATTCTCAAACCATGCCTGCATGGCAGGTGAGAATTCATTTTAGAAAGAAAGGAGAGAAGTTGCTGACCAAAACTGCAGAAACAAGTGCAGACAGCCAATCTTAGGGAGGTGAAAAAGCATTCCTTTCTCTGCGTGAGAATACATCGTTAAAAGCTCTTTCAGACTAATAATATCAGATGTTCTATCAGATGGAGTGAAAACATGTCATTTTGATCCTGACGATTGTCCCTTTAAATGTTATTTTATGCTGGGCCCTCAGCCAAAAAAAGAATAGCAATTTTCTTAAGCTTCAACACTGATCAGCACGTCCTAATAGCACTGGATGCAGAGCACGTCATCATATCAATATGTTTTCTGTACTCTGAGCATTCTTCGTGAAATCTGCATTTTTAAGATGTACAGTACATGGGAGCTGGATGTTTAATTTACTATAAAATCACCCTCAAGCTGAAAACCTGCAAATCATGTTAGTTAAATGGCATATTTATAGGTTTGCTAGTGAAACTGAAGGCGGCCGGTGGGGAGTTTGTCGTCTGCTGCTGTTTGGAAAATTAAAACAAAGCCTTCCTGTCTGCATCTTGTTTCTTTTGCATCTCCAACTGAATCTCTTTGGTTTGAGTCTTTGTTCTTGCACCTAAGCAGGAACCAAGGGACCTCCTTTGGGATGGTGTGGCAGGCATTTGTCCAACTCAGCCAGCAGCTATTTATAAGAGAGGGTCAGGATCTGGTCAGCCTTAGGGTAAAGCTGCACACTCTATTTCCAGTCTAAAATCAACTCAAATTTAAACGGGCTGATACTAGCTACCGCACAGGCAGCAGTTAAGAGGTTCGTAACACAGAGCAGAAGGCAGTGCTTGGACCTTGGTTTCTGCACCCTGGCCACAGTGTGTGACTGTTGTTGAGGGGACAGGCTGCCCAGGGCCCTTCCTCAAAGAGGTTACTCAAGGCTATATAGGAACTGTGAGCAGCCAAGTTTCTACCAGCAAAAGTGACTACCTCAGCTCTCCTTGTGGCTGTGAGCAAGGCAATTCAGTTTTACCATCTTTAAAATAGTTATTAGCAGCAGGAAGGCCAATTCTATATTGTGAATCAGATGTAAAGTTTCATTGTAAGACGTAAATGTGTATTCAAACTGGACGAGGGTAGAGTTAGACTAGATATAAGGAAGAAATTCTTTACTGTGAGGGTGATGAGACACTGGCCCAGGTTGCCCAGAGAAGCTGTGGATGCCCCCTCCCTGGCAGTGTTCAAGGCCAGGTTGGACGGGGCTTTGAGCAGCCTGGTCTGGTGGGAGGTGTCCCTGCCCATGGCAGGGGTTGGACTGGATGAGCTTTAAGGTCCCTTCCAACCCAAACCATTCTGTGATGTATGACATGCATACATACATGTAAATATGTATGTGTATATCATAGAATCACAGAATCATGTCTATGTTTAGAAATCCTAACTTGCAGGTCTTGTTTGCCATTAGGGAAATCTCACATATTCAGCTCCTGATCTGTATGTAACTGGCTCATCCCATGCATTTGTTAACCCTTTCTGGAGGGTTAACCCGCATGTGGAACCTCAATATAAAGTGTGAGTGAAAATGTTGAGTCTCGAGGAGTCTCTGCTGAGGAGAACTTCTCCTGGCTGTTAAATTCACAGCAGTTTTCTTGCAGGTTTGTAGAGTGATCAGCTGGGATTGTAGAGGCTGGTCTCTGTTTTGGATTCTGAAAAATGCACAGTCTTGGTACTTGCTTGTATAAAAGCTACAAATACTTCCTAAAGTCAGCGATTCTAAGGAAAAAAATACTTCAAACACCTCTCATGATCAATAAACATGAACCTCTTCTTTTTATTGTTGAAATTATTAAATGCATTTAAAGTGTAACACAAATAAAATCCTGTGAAAATAGACACAGCTTCTTCTTCCTCAGCTGCAATTTATTCCATTTGCCAAACTCGTGCTAATACAGGAGAGAGAGTTGGGGAGCAAGGGAAGATTCATTATTTTTTTTTTGTAAGCCCAGAAATGAAAATACTTCATTACAAAAATAATTTGCACAATAATAGAAATAAGTAAGTGCACTGCAGACTCTCTGGAGTAAAGCTTTCCTCCTCTCTGTGCTTCCCCGCAAACTCTGACAGTCTGCTCATTAACAGTGAATTGGATTTACATGCCATTTCAAGAGAGGAAGAAAGCACTGGTGTATCTACTGTATAATCAGCACTTAGATTTTTTGGTTTAATATAGATGGGAGGGTGCGTTAACATTTTCAAGGCCTTCCAGGGTGAATTAAGTTTTGATGACCTATTTCATTTTATGACAAGAGTCCGCAGCTTTAGACCGGTAAATTTGAGTTTGATTAGGGTTTGGCTGTGTGCGTCCTGCTGCAGCAATGTAGCTTTTGCTGATTTTGGTGACAGTGCAGACAGGAAACACTCTATCAATAATTCAGGTAAAGCACCTTTTTGGTTTTTTACTTTTTTTTTGCAAACTCAGCATCATTATGAATCAAAGGGTTTGGCTGTGGGAAAGCATAGGCAGCCTCTTGTTAAGTGATGCCCTGGAATGTGCCTCGTGTCCTCCTGGAGGGGGACTGGGGCAATATGGGAAAAGAAGCAGGAAAATTGAATGCATTCTTTTTCCAGAGCGGTCGTTACACATCTGCCTTTCAAGTGCCATGCATTAAGGTGGCTGCAATTGAAAGCTCAGATCAGAGCTGCTACCTCAAAACATTTCTCAGGAATATTTATCATTAGCTCATATCATTACGTGCACAATCCCTTCTTTGCCCTCGCCCCTGTCATGATTTCTTTCATACAGGAGGGAGGTGAGGGAATTTATCCGAATTAAAATCTATGCAAAGATATCTTTAAAAGTGTCTCTAACGGAGGATGCTTTTCTCTTAGAAGCCGTGATGGGGAGGTATATACAGAATGACTAAGGCAGCCAATTAATATGTTATACAAACAGCGAGCATCACTAGAAAAAAGAGAGAGAGAAAGAAAAATGAGAGATTTGGGGTGGAGGAGGAAGGGGGGAAGGGAGGTTGTAAGTATAAAGTGTTTGCCTTAGGACTTGTCTTCAGTTACAGAGCCAGACTCACATGACTGGAGCTTGGTTTGATGTGGTAATGAAGCATTGATCACAGGAAAAAGATGAAATGGCCTTTGCTCATTCATTATTTTTATCTTCTAGCTGTGGAAGACAGAAAATTGTTCATAGGAATGGTTTCGAAGAAGTGTAATGAGAATGATATCAGGGTGATGTTTTCTCCGTTCGGCCAGATAGAAGAATGCCGAATCCTTCGGGGACCGGACGGGCTGAGCAGAGGTGAGTGTGCAGTCTGTAAAGTCTCTTTCCTTAAGTGCTAATTGGGAGCCTAATGTCACAGCCAGGGTAGGCATAGCCGCTGTCTGCAGCGAGAGGTTACGCTGTAATGTGTCCCACGTGATGGAGGTATCCACATGAACTTTTCACAGTGACTGAAATTATCACCTTTTATTTCCCGTGTCAGAAGGGTCTCGCTGCCAACATATTAACTTGTGTTATCGCCCTGTTTGTCAGCTGGAAAGGTTCCTTCGCACCCTGAGAAAACACCCTCAGTTTTCTGCTCTCACAAAATCAAAGAGCGGTCCCTGACCCCTTTCTGCTTTGTAGCGTAAGACCAAAAAAAAGAAAAAGGACTGTAAATGACTGCGTGAAGGCATAGAGAGTCACGGCAACTGGCCCATGTTGGAGCACCGTGTCCTCCACTCCTGTGTTTTCTGTAACTATATGCAAAACATAGGTCTGCTGTAACTCAGAAACAAAGAGTGAACCTGAGAGCTTTACCTGGACAAAACTTTGTCAAAAGAGCTTTTAAAGTTTGTGCCTCTATCACAACCCAAAAAACGGGGCAGAGGTGCTAAGCAGCACCACTGAGAGCAGTCAAGTGACTGACCAGAAATTTGGAAATGAGGTGCAGCACAAACATCAATAGCTGGTGATTCCTTTTGAGTGCAAAAGTGCCTTTTGGGGACAGGCCCTCTGAAAACATACTGAAAAGAAAAATAAATGTGTACTGGTGACCCAGGCTGCATATTAACTCCATGGTATATGGACCTGAAATTATTCTTGAAGCGGGAACCTTCTCAAAAAGTCAGTGCCAGGTGGTGCTGAGTGGAAAAGAAAATAGTGATAGTCCTGTCTGTCAGTGGGGAAGGATGCTGTGGTACCAGCCATGGCCATTTAACGGCACAGGGAGTAAAGTAATTCTAAGTGTGGAGCTGTGGAAACATTCCTTCTGTTTCTATAGAAAAAAAAAATACATAGAAAGCACAGTTTATGCATTTTATTACATTTTCAAAAGGCACAGAAAAAAGAATAGTACCCATTTTGCATAGAGATACAGATCTAGATACTTTTCTTTACTTTTGGAGCTACTTGTTTCCAGTAGGCTACAGGATCTGCAGTATTTTGTGCAACAATTTGTGCATGGGGGTTTTTGTTTTGTGTGCAACCCAGCCTCTTTAAAATGCCTATAAATTTCAGCAGGGGAAGTTGCAAGTATTCCTATATTTCATGCCACTGCTTGGAAGCACTTACTATACTACTTCTGAATAATAAGGACTTGTTGAAAAGACACTGGCAATAAATAGGGAGCACCAAGAAAATTAAGCACTTACATTTATGTGTGCTTAGTCTATGGTCCCAAAACTATTGGGGCTAGGATGCAGCAGTCCTTTCAGACAAGGAGAGCCTCAGGATCATGGGGTTTGCCTTGGGGAAGGCAAGAGGAAAGGTCTGAGGATGGTTCCTGTAGGTCAGTAATGAATGTTAATTGATGGAGTCAAGGGCTGTCATCTGTCTAGACCCAACATGAAGGCAGAACAAATAGTTCTGATTTTCACCGCTGTCATTTTGTAGTAGCACAGGGAAGGGGTGATGGAAATCACAAGTGGGAAAGGAGCTACGTAACTGCTGAAATAACAAGATCTGAGCATCAGATGTTTTGAGCCCTAAAGAAGATTCCATTGACTCCTCAGCATCACCCAACAAGGAGATGGATCTTTCCTGGGATCCATAGAAATCCCACTGCATACTTGCTTTTCTTCAACAGACATTGGGCATAGTATGAGCATAGAAAAGCTAATTATGAAATCACACAGGGTAAGTGGTAGGTTTTTTCCTGCCATAAATAGAAATCTCACGATAATCGGAAGCTGAGATCATTTTGAGCCATCTCACCAGCCTACAGGCAGGGCAGTGTCAGCTGCCGGCCAGCAGAGCTGGAGCCTGAAGATCTCAGTCCAGGTAGGTCACACACCAGTAATCATAGCAGAGCTGTATCCTCTCTGCCACTCGGGTGCATTTCGGTCACAATCTCGGCTGATACTCTATCATGCCCTCATGCATCATGCCTTGTTAAACTTGAATTGCTTTCTGCACACCCATGTTCACACTTGAAAATGAGTTCAGCTGTGCCATCCAGGTTTGCAGGCAGATGTTTATCAGCTTCACAAAACCACCACTCTGTGAGAGAAGGCCAAGTGTGGGGTAAATGGTTGGTATTGCAGTCAAAATGAAAAGTGCTAAGGGAGGTTTGCAGTGGAGGGAGCTTGGCTGAAAAAGCACAGGGTGAAAAGCAGCTTCACTAAAGCAAGAGGGAGAATTTATATAGTTAAATCTTTGTAAAAAATTCCAATACTTAAGTTTTAATTTATGTTGCCACTTCCAAGATGCAAGTTCCCTTTGCCACAAACACTATTTGTTTTCCCAGCACCCGTCCGGATGTGCTTCCCTCCCAGACACAGAGGGGTGAATGAAAAATAGTCGCTGTCGTAGGAAAACACTGTCCTCACCATGCCAGAGCCTTCGGGAACTCACAGTGCTCACAGCAGTGAGATGGAAATATGGTCCAATAAACTCTGTTTGGCAGCTCTTTTCAATTGCATAACAAGTGCACATCATGGTGTCTCAGAAAAAAGAGCTTGAAAATTATATTCATTGGTATTTATGCCAACTCTTGAGCTTTGCTGGAGGATTCAGGCAAATAATCTTTATGACCAGCAGATAGTTGCAAGGAATAGCTCCAAGTTACACTGCTCAGTAGAACAGTTTTAGGTTTTGCTGCTTTATTTTTTTCTTACTAAAGAGTAAAAAGCTTTCAGTTGACTTTTAGGCCACATCTACACCACAACAGCAGCCTTACCGCTAGTGCGGTAGCCGTCTGTTGTCAGCCCATAGGTGGGATGTGGGGTTGTAGAGTGCCACATGGCTCCAGCAGCAAGGAGAGATCCCGTCCTGTGGCGTCAAGGGAAAATGTAACACTCTGTGATGAGTGTGATATAAGTGCTAAGATAAGTGAGAGGGAGAGAGAGATCGAACAGGTTATTTCTATTGTAGTTTCTAGCCCAGCGTTGACAGAACTTTATTAAAGTCACACCCATTGCTGTCAGTACTGGTAATGGACCATCAGCATTTCCACTCCAAATTCCTATTGTCAGCTGTTTGAAATTCATCAGTAAAATGAGGCTAAAATAATGATACAGAGCTCCAGCGGTGGAGCAGTGTATTTTAAAGAAACTGAGATTTCTGTCCTTTAGTAATTTTTCCCCCCATTGTTGTTAGCTCCTGCATCTAAGAAATAATGGTTGGTTGTACTTGTAACTTGTTATATTCCAGCCAGCTACCAGAAATGGGCAGCACCCAAAAGGCATTGCCTTGCAAACGCTCTGGGATAGCTCCTGTGAAATTTGTTGGCTGGCAGAGAGTAATTCCTAGCTGTGAAAAGTATTAAAAAATAAAAATGCCCTGTTGGTTGTAGAGATAAAGAAACCAGGGACTCAGCAGACACGGAGGCTGGCCTTCGCTTTAGCGGGGTTATGGGACTATCTAAAGAAGCTTGCCCGTACCATATTCATTATTCAAAGAGAAGGATTCAGCCTGCAGGGTTGTTTAATCCAGCACTTTTTTCTGAAGAGCTAAGTATGCTTTACAGAAATTCATGATTGTGATATCATGTGCTAAGCTTCATTATCATGAAAAAGCAGAAGTGAACCACCTCAGATGATTAAGATTTTTAAATCACTTATTGTAAACGGCTTAAGGAAACTTTCGGACCTCCTGACTTCTAGCGCTATGTAATGTCTACATGGCCACTGATACCAACACAGACAGCCGTGCAGTGATAGCTGGAGTGAGCGAAAATAGCCAGAAATCCCCAAATCTGATTTGTAGCTGTGCAGCTGATGTGCTGTATTGACCGTAGGCGAGTTGGTCTCTCATCATCTCTCTGTTATCCCATTCCTTAAAATAAGGATAGCGATGCTCCTCTACCTTTGTAATGTGCTTTTTTTTAGACCAGTGGATCAATATCTCAGTATCACTCGAGGAATTATTACCATCTGTAATGATGATAAAAAAAATCCTCTTATCCTTATCACAGGAGCACCACACAGCAAATTATTCTGCTGTATCGCTAAGTGCAGATTTATATAACAGATACCAGAAAGAAGTCAACTGGGTTAATAGCATGCACTGCAAAAACCTGCTAATAACATGTACAGATAGTTGGATATACCATGAAAATTGTGGAAAAGCTCCAAGTGCATATTCCTACATCTTCTAGGCTCCTAATTGGGTATGGGTTTTTAACAAAACATCGCCAGGCACATGGGACAAGTGAGCATTTCTGCAGACGTTGATCACAGGAATTTTTTTTCTTCTTTGCTTTAAGAGCAGGTTAGAAATGGCATGGAGAGTTAAACCACGGTCAGGAAATTTAATTTAATGAAAATCTATTCCTAACTTTCAAATTCAGAGGGTTTGGTGATGATTTAGTAAAAGAAAAATAGTATTTGCATCATAATTGCCATGAAGGGTAGGTGAGGAGGTTTTATGTCTGTTTGTTTTTCCTTCTGGATCTTTACTTCCCCTTTCTGAGCTAAAGTAACGTGAAGCACCAGCCATGGGACCAGCCTGGACTAGGGCCACCTTCTGACTTGTGTGTCGGGAGGGCAGCACAAGTGCTGTATTTTTAATTGCTCTTCAGAAGCACCTCCATGCCTTGTTTCTTTTAGTGTAGTGTGGTAACGTTTCTATTTCCTCCAATCATTATGTCACATTTAATTTTCCTTTTCCCTTGCTGAAACTCATTTGAAGCTGGGAAGGAACAAACACATCCAAGTGACCAATGACTCTGCTGGCCTTCAGCCAGTAACGCTGCGTCTCAGATCTTCATCACTGCATCTTCGCAGCAATCCCTCCTCAGAGAGAAGTCAGAAATGAAGTCATTTACAAGAGTTTTTATTTGAAGAAGAGGTTTGCTTCTGGTTTTCTGTAAATACCAG